TACAAATGCTGACATTCTGTTGACGTAGATGAGACTTACGTTTTATTCGAAGAAAATAAAGAAGAACCGTTCTAATTTAATTAGATAAAAAAATTTGTTTTCTTTTAATTTTTGTAAGCCAAAGGTACTCTTAAAAATTATTTTTTTAAAGAAAAAAAAATAGGCTCAAAACGTGATTTAATGAATAAAATTTTGAGATTTTAAATAGTAGAAGTTTTAAGTTCAAATATTATAATATGTAATGATAAATTAAAAAAAAACCTTCATAATTAAATTAAAATAAATAAAAAATATTTTATAAAATAGATTATATATTAAAAAGATAGTTTATTTTATAAATTTATTAAAATATTTTTAATGAGATTATTTTTTATTATTTTATTAAAATATTTTAATAAATTTATAAAATAAAATACATTTTTAATATATAATTTGAGTTGTTAAACATTATTTCTTTTAAAAAATATACATAAGAATTAGAGAAGATTTATTGAGGAGTAGAAGGGGACTGATCTAGATTCTAAAATTCTTTATTCAAGTTGAATAGGATTACCACCATAACTTATTTTGTTCTACTACGATCAAATTGTTTGCAAGAAACTAAGAAAGATCAAGAGATTGAAGTTGATTGAAAGAAACACCCATCTAGCATCTGGAGATAAGATGCACTTCAAAATGTGATTTTTATGGCCTATAATCTTTCTCTCTCCACTTTATCTGGTACTCCTTTTCATAAGTTTGGTAATAATCTTAATCTACCCAAACTTTTCTAACTAATTTGTCTTCCCACTATTCTTCCACAATGGCTGCTCCAAAATCCAAAGTCCCAACCTTCTTTCATTAATCTTCACTTTGGTCTTTGAGAGACAAAAAAGCACTTAGTTCCCCAAATCACGGTGGATGGCATGGAGGCAGTCCATGGTAGCATCATTAGAAGTGTTATTAATTGGTTACAAGTCACTAACTTGTCGTTTAACAAATAAAATTTGATTTTAATTGATATTTCTCTAGATTGTCAACTAACCCAATGATGACTTTAAGACCCATAATCCCTCAGCCTTTGATAGTTGACCCCAAGTTAGCACCAAAATCAAACTTCTTATTATACGTTTTTTTTACCTCATCTTGATGTCATAATATGAACTCAATTCTTATGTTGAGGTTTTTGTTTATTTTTTCTTATTAAGGATAATTACAAAAAGATAAGAGAATGTTCTTGCTTGTGTTCGAACCCAGGACTTACTAGAGTTCAAGCCCTTAACACTTAGATGGTGAACCATTAGGCGAACAAATTCGGTGAAATAATCTAATTTCCATCACTTTCTAGTTTCAATTTTCACCCATAAAATAAGAATGGGGAAAAACAAAAACCAGAACCACAGTGAAACAGGTGTGGGGATGGATAATGTGTTTTGGCAGCTAATGAGCAGGGGATGCGGTGAGAGTCAGTGAGCTTGTGAACAGAAGACAGCAAAACAAAAGGCCATTTCAAGGTAGTATTCAAAGCCACGGCAACCTCCCCTTCAAATTGCAATGAGGGTTCTCTGTGTTTTAGGTTTCGTTTGTCACAATCTAGTCCAATTGCAGGCAGCCCCATAACTTCTTGGTCACTATCGCATTTATCTCTGATCCATGGCCCCATTTATCCCCTCCTCACAATTTGTTACAAGGGACAATAAACATGTTCCAATCTAAATACCACCTCATTTGGGCCTGGTTGGAACCCATTGTTCAGTGAGCTGGATCCATTGACAATATAAGCCCATTCAATGCAAGGCTTAAAACTTGATTTACAAAGATGTGCGTGGAAATCAGTATCTTAAATGGTGGCCCTAGTTCCAATATTTTTGGAATGGTTGGATTAATTACAGTCCATTCATTTCTATGTAATGGATCCACAGTGCATGACTTCATCTTCTTCCTTGATTCTCAGAATTCACAGAATCAGCCATGGATTCACAGTATATCCAACCAAAGCTAGAATTCATCTAACAAACAGAAGGGTGTTCTTCAAATTCAACGTGTATGAGTATTATGTATTTTTCTTCAATTTCTTTCATTTCAATTCATATAATCAGTTTCCGTTTTGGGGTTTTCTTATTTTGCCTTCTTTTTCCTGAAATCAGCAATTATGGTAGTGGTTCTCAATGGCGGAAAAAGAAAAAGACATTGCTTACTCAAAGAATCTATACAACAAAGTCGAAGAGAGAGCAATTGGAAGGGAAGGAAGAAGATGCTGCTGCTGAGGTTATTGGAAAGAAGGGAACCATAGCTGGCGCAGTTGCTCTTATTGTTGGTACTAGTATTGGCTCAGGAATACTTGCACTTCCACAGAAAGCTTCTCCTGCTGTAAAATTCTTTCCCTCCCTCCCTTTCCTTGAGCATGCTTTGAGTGTGCTTGACTTTATGTCTCACTGATACAGGGTATCCTTCCAAGTTCCATATCCATGATAATTTGCTGGGGGTTTCTCGTAATTGAAGCCCTTTTGCTCGTAGAAGTCAATGTAGGACTGCGGAGGAAAAATAAGAGGAAGAAGGAAGAAGAAAGTGAATTAGAGGTTATCTCCATTAGGACCATGGCTCAAGAGACACTGGGAGATTGGGGTGGAACTCTGGCCACTGTTACCTATGTCTTCTTGGGTTACACTACCATGATTGCTTATAGCTCTAAGTCCGGAGAGATACTCTTCCATCTTGTCAATCTTCCTGAATCTGTTTCAGCCTTCATATTTACTGCAATTTTCACCTTGCTCATTTCTGTTGGTGGGACTCGTGCCACAGATCAAGTGAACCAATGGCTCACTGCTTCCATGATAGGTAATACTGGGCAAGTTAAGATTGTTAATCAGATTTGATGCTTCTTAATAAAACAGGCATATTCATTTGACAATGTGGAGAAAAAAATGAATGCATTATACATTTATAGGTTTATTACTGGCAATTGAAGCTCTGGCAGCAGCATTTGGAGGATGGTCAGGGCTGGGAGGAAATGGTGACTGGGGGAAAGTTCCAGCTATCATTCCCGTGATGATATTCTCTTTGGTATATCATGATCTAGCACCCGGTAAATTGGACTTTTCTTTGAAGCCCCTAGTTCAGACTTTCCAGGCAATATCTAACTGATGTCTGTTGGCTTATGTTTCTGTACTGCTTTTCTTGCAGTACTCTGTGCTTATTTGGATGGTGACCTTACACGATTGAGGGCTTCAATCTTGCTAGGTAGCCTTGTTCCGTTGTTTGCATTGCTTTTTTGGGATGCAATTGCCCTTGGCCTCTCAGCGCAGGCTAACCAAATTACTGACCCTGTTGAATTGCTTTTGAGGTAATACAAGCTAATTTTGTCTCAAAATATGTTTTTGGAATTTTAAAGGCATTTTCCCCATACGTCTGCAGCGTAAGCTGGGGTGGAGTTCCGTTTATGGTACAGGCATTTTCACTTCTGGCAGTAGGAACATCGCTCATTGGCACTCTCCTAGGTTTCTCAGAGTTCTTTAAGGAACAACTTAAGAAGCTTCATTGGTATTCTCTATCACAGGTCTCCCTCTCTCCCTCTCTCTCTCTCTCTCTCTCTCTCTCTCTCTCTCTC